TTAGCCGCTATGCCATCTTACACCATGTCCTGCTTCAAGCTCCCCAATTCACTGTATAAACGTATTCAATCAGCATTAACAAGATTCTGGTGGGATGACAAAATGGATAAAAAGAAAATGTGTTGGGTCTCTTGGAAGAATTTGACAAATTCTAAAAGAGAGGGAGGATTGGGTTTTAGAGACTTACAAAGCTTCAATGATGCACTCCTAGCAAAGGTGAGCTGGAGAATCCTCACAAACCCTTCTAGTCTCTTAGCTAGAACTCTGTTAGGGAAGTACTGTCACTCTACTCCATTTCTTGAAAGTCGTATTCCCTCTAACACATCCCATGGATGGAGAGGAATTTGCATCGGTCGAGAACTCCTAAAATCTAAGTTGGGACGTGTGATAGGAGATGGAAAATCAACACAAATTTGGCTTGATCCATGGCTGTCTCTCACTGCTCCCAGCAGACCAACAGGACCAGCACCAGAATCCAGCCACAATCTCATGGTAGCAGACCTACTCACCCCTGATTCTCTGGAATGGGACAGGGAGAAAATTCAGAAAATTCAGATTGGGAACAAGCCATTCTGGAGATCAAAATAAGCACACTAGGGGCATCAGATTCTTATGCTTGGCTTCCCTCGAAGAATGGAATCTACACAGCAAAATCAGGCTATTACGAGAGCATTAAAGAAGAAGCCGAATCAGAACCCCTGCCACAGCAAATCGAGACCAGAGACTTCAATTGGACAAAGGAAATTTGGAACATCAAGAGTTCTCCAAAGACGAAATTCTTTCTCTGGAAGGTAATGAGAGGAGCGTTACCTTTGGGAGTAAACCTTCGGACAAGAAACATCAATGTGGAGGCTGCCTGTACTTTCTGTGGTGAGGAAGAGAGTGCTCTTCACTTGTTTTTTAAGTGCAGCTACGCACAAACAATCTGGGAAAACACTCCTCTTAAGACGCCGATCGACTGTGAACATCTTCTGTCATTTAGAGCTGGCTTGGAAGCTTCAAAGATGCTGATTTGCCTCCCCCCGAGTGGAATTTCTGATGGACCGCTGTTGCCGTGGGTAGTGTGGGCAATTTGGTTATCACGAAACCAAAAGATCTTCAAAGACAGAACCAAATCACCTATGGAAACGCTGAGTCACGCCATATCACTTGCTCGAGAATGGCAGCTAGCACAATACAACTCAGAATCTCCCTCACAAGAACCAAAGAGACAAGTCTCGAGACGAGAAGTTGATGAGGAGACCTGTGTTTGCTGCACAGACGCGGCTTGGAATGCAACCTCTAAAGTTGCGGGTTTCGGCTGGACTTTCTCCAGATCTGTGGGATCTCCCAGCGAAGGATCAACAGCCAATTTCCACATCAGATCTGCTATAACGGCGGAAGCCACGGCCATCCGCTATGCTCTCCAGCAAGCCTTGACTCTGGGAATTGGAAAAATTTCTATCGCTTCAGATGCTAAACAAGTAATCGAAGCTATCAATTCAGAGAATCCACCGGTGGAACTCCATGGGAATCATCACGATATCCTTGCTCTATTTTTAAATTTTTCTGCAATCAGCTTTAATTTTATCCCTAGGGAGCAGAATCACTTGGCTGATGCCATTGCTAAAAGCTCCTTGAGGAACCTTGTATCGGAAACATAAGTATTGAATGAAATCGTTTCTTTGCCAAAAAAAAAAAAAAAAAAAAAAACAAGAGTTACAAGCTTTTGTTAAGTGTCAATCAACATGTTATATGATCAAGTCCCTTAATTGCTTCTGGTTCCATCCTGGCCTAGATGGTATTACGCAATTCCTTGTCAATGTCTTTGAAAACTTTAGCTGGTGTGACATAGACTTGATTATGTAGAATATTGTTCCTCTGCAAATTAGTACCAATATAAATAAATAATATCCTTGAAAATGACAAATCTTAGCTACCTAGGAACTACATTACCAAATACACAATCTAAATCACCAACCATATTGTGTCTAATTAGTGATCATATTCGTCGGTAACGATACATTACCTTAACAATCTAGTGTTTAACTGGTTTACACATAGTCTCATGCAATGCAAAATATATTCTTACCATAAACACCAATGTTAAAAACCCATTAAATTGACAGCCTTCATTGCAATCACATGTTACAAGTACCACATTCGCGGTTTTTATTACATTGACACTGTTACAATCGCTCTGTTACTATCAATTCATTCAGATTCTTTGTTATATTTACTTTGTTACCATAATTCTCTTAGGATTTAGATCACAAATCCGACCGGCATAAAATTGAATTTAAGCAAAAAATAAAACACACTATTTATAATGGTTTATCATGAACGTGAGAGTTACGTCTACTTTCTGATAAATGAGTTTTCACTATGATCAATAAAACTTGGGAACTACAAGTTCTCGCTCTTGTACTTTTTTTCTTTTTTTCGTCAAACACCATTTTTATTTAGATATCGGAAAGAGACTCTCCGCTAGAGAGAGCCATTCAGGAACCAACTTATTTATATGGGAAAAAGACTATTACGAGTCTGAGCTTTTTTGGCTAAACAGTCTGTTCGAGTATTAGAACTTCGAGGAAGAAAACTAATGTTAAAAGAACGGAAAAAAATAAATGAGGGACCAGAAAGAGGCCATTTCTGCTGCAAAAGTTGGCCAATCATCTTGGTTGTCGAGGAGAGATATCATGTCAGAGCAATCGGATGCGAAAGCGCTAGAGGTATCTCCTAAAGAGATCATAAATTCTATTGCCCAAAACAAAGAGTCAACTTCCGTGTGGAGCGGTAAAAGACTTCTTCTCGTACTCTTGAGGCCAAGATGAAAAATACGGTCTTGGCCGACTAGAACCCACCCATGTCCACTTAGGTTGTCCCCCATATGCCAGGAGGCATCAATCTGACATTCCGAAGTCTGGCGAGGAGGATAGTGGGATAGTACCGGATGGACGAGAGACTCGGTATCTGCTACATCTTTCAAGTTTGCTTGCTTCCTGTAATGCCAAGGCCAGGGTGTCCATGGGGTTCTTTGAAATTTTCGAAAAGAAATCGATTACGGCTTTTCCAGATATACCAGAGTATCTATCCATGGAAAGAGTTCTAAAACCTCATCGTCTTGTACTCTACAACTCTTTATTTCTAATAATGATGAATCGATGCACCAACAAAAATACATATTAGAAAAAACTTTAGAACAAACAATTATATGCCTAAAATAACCAAAATATCTTTAATGAGCGATCTTTTAAATTTTTTTTGTTTAGGCGTATTATTCTTGGGTTCACCCCTAGGGGTGAACCTTTGTATTCACCCCCATTAATATTAGCCAATCATTATGCCATGTCATATAACATTTATATAGAAGTTAAAAATTAAACAAACAAATAAAATAAATCATTAACTAAAAAATATTAATTAGTTAATAAAAATAAATCATTAACTACGGAGTCATCGTCTCTTTTTTTTTTTAGGTTTTAGATTTCCCGGACTTATAGATTCATGTGATTGATGCATCCTGAAAGATGGGTAAAGCATCGTCAAGTTTCTCAAAGTTTATCATGTCAAGATCTTCAACTCTCCTTGCAGGTGCGAGAATGTCGATCAAACAAACATATTGTTTTTAAAGCGGTTGGATATTATATGAGCTTCAGCATCATCAGATTGTAGCGTAAAAGATCACAATCAAAATTGTATTATAGCATCGCGTCTACGCACCTCTTCTTGAAATTCTTCCTTCAATTTTCAGTGTTATCTTTATCGGATTGTGTTTTGTCTTCAATTGAAGTTTGCTTGTGATCTTTAATTTTATCATCAATTCTCTTTCTGATTTGTTCAATTTTTCGTACATGTTCCTTTTTAAATAAACAGGATCGGATACGATGGAGCTTGAGAAGACAACTTCCTCTGCAGGTCCAATGAAGGCATCATTGGCAAGAATAAAGCCAAGACTCTAGAGAAAAATATCATTGCCAACTCTTGTCAATTTGTCTTTTTTTTTCCTAAAAATTTGAGAAATATCTTACTTTCTGTTTCACATCACATGCCATCATTGTAAATAATTGCGATGAAATGGTTTTGGTTTGGTTTGGTTGGAGTGTAATGGTAGACTAAAAAAATTGACTGGTAAAAGCTACACTACAGAGCATATAAAAATTGATTCTCAACAAATGATCACGTTGTCATGGTTTTAGATGCAACAAAATTATGGTTCTCAAAAGGGATCAACAAGAAAACGTTTTCTCCAAATGAAGTCAAAGATGGAACCAATCAGAAAGAGATTTATTTTTGTTACATGAAGGTGTTTTGATTCTCTCAAAACTGGGACAACCTAAAAAGACTGAGTTAATAATTGTTCAAATCAAAAACCTAAAACTAAAACGGCGACACTGTTAACTAATTAATATTTTTGTTAATGATTTATTAATTAATAGTTTGTTTGTTTAATTTTTGACTTCTATATAAATGTTATATGACATGGCATAATGATTGGCTAATATTAATGGGAGTGAATACAAAGGTTCACCCCTGGGGGTGAACCCAAGAATTGTTCTACCATTATACACTTGATTTTTTATCTTCTGTTTTTCTGATTTCAAACTTTGTGACTATTCTTGTTTATATGGAATTTCTTTTTCTTTCTATTCTCATATACTTCAATCCGAATGACCGTATAATTCCGATTGTATAATTCCGTAAAAATGTTAGATATAATTAATGCTTTTTCTAAAATTAAGTTCAGCTAATGTTTTGCTATATGTCTCAGTCATGAAAATTAACAAGTACCATCGTATGTAAGGAACGCAAATCTTCCACATATATATACTGATTGAATGACATTGATTTCCTTCAAAATAGACATGACCCCTGAGAATATAAAAAACTTCTCTGGTCAGGATTTTTTGTCCCAACTAGAGAAAGAAAACAAATTACACACAGAGATTCCACAGTTTTAAAAAAAAAAACGAGAAAAAAAAAACACTAAGAAAAAAAATACAAGAAAAACTAAATTACCAGCGAGGAATCTAATTATATTACAAGACCAAATCGCTGATTAATTTAATGCCTTTGACTTCACGAGAACTCCAAGGAAAAAAACATGGGCCTGTCCTTATCTTCTCCTCCTCTCCGGCGTCCAATGCGGTAAGGATGGGCTAAAATGCGCCGACACAACCCTAGAATCTAGTAACTCCACAATAGGTGTGAAGTTCACGCACCTTGGTACCTTGTACTGGTTAATTGATGCGCCTCTTGAGATCGCGTAATCCATCAGTTCCTCGAACGTTCCATTTCTCACCACTCTAATCTCCAATGGTCCAACCGAGTTGTCCGCGACTCGGCTTTGCCGGTAAACCGAGTTTAATGACTCTTCCATCTCGAGGCAGCAACGAGTTATGGTCTCATGACTTGGCTGCCACGCTCCATCCCTCACTAACAACTCCCAGTATAAGACGTAGTGGCCCGGGATCGTGCTTGTGTCTGCGTAGCTAGTGTACTCAGCTACGCGGCTCCCACACTCTTCATGAAGAATCTTCGATGCATTCTCCACCGCCTTTTGAAGCTCTGACTCGTCCGTCTTGTCGGAATCGATGCTGAGGAGGACGTTTTTCCTCCTCACGAAGTGAAACTGAGGTGCGGAGTTATGGAAGCCTGTGACTCGAAGGATGTCACCAACTCGGTATCGACAAAGACCGGCATAGGTGGTGACAACGAGTTCATACTCTTTACCGATCTTAACATCAACGAGTTCAACGGCCTTGGTGCCGCCGAGAGGGATGAACTCAAAGTAGGCCATGTTGGGCATGATGGTGTAAGAGACTTCTGAGGGTTTGCTCATTGGATTAAGGTTCAAACCAAAGTAACACTCCGAAGAGGCGTACATGGTGCAAGCCATGGGAAGACCGCCGCTATAGTATTCCAACGTTGGGATATACTGAGCCATTGCTCCAGTTACGATGACGTCAAGGTACTTAGTGTTGGGCCAAATTCGGGTGATGATTCGTTCCCAATTGTCGGACTTGCACTCCCGGCGGATGAACTCTGCCAGGACAGGGTCCGGTTTGAGAATACCGGACATGCATTCTCTTATAGACGGGTCAGTTATCTCGGAGTCCAGACATCCTAACTCGATGTCATGGGCGAAGCGAGACCAATGGAGCTGGAGGAAGCGAATGGCACGGAGAAGACCGGAGGCAAAGACAGCGCCCACGCGGAGAACAGAAAGGCGGTCAAGGAGGCCACAAAGCATCTGAGTGTACATACTTTGAAATGAGTCCGGACAGAGAATGGCTTCGTTGGGACTTGTGTAGACGTTGTAGGGGTCGTACGGCCGAGACCGAAAGTGTTCACTCTTGTAGTAACTGGTCAAAACCGGTCGAGCTGGTAGCCCACCAGGTGTCTTTGTTTCGGACTTAACGAACAGGAAGTACATTCCTTTTCCTTTATCTAGACCCGGCACATACCTGTTCCAGAAAAGAGACAAAATTGTCAACGCTTGAACAAATAATAAATAATATATTTAACAAACTCATACGTCACTATGTCTATATTGTCGTCTAGCCACGGTAACTTTATTATGGTAAAAAATTTTTATTAATGTGAAGGACTTACAAATTCATTACGGGCATGAGGAGACTATAAAGAAGCTGGCGACGATCGAGCTCTTCTCTAATGGTCGGCATAAGTTTCCTCTCTCCGGCTGAGGTTCCCGAGCTGGAGAAATTATAAACAAAATTAATTCCAATTCTAACGTTTTAAGAGTGTTATATTATTATATAAAAAAAGTTTTACGATTGTTATTGGTTTATGGAGTTTAATTGATTTAGAAACAGTGTAAAAAGAGAGAGCAAAGTATGGTGAACGAACCTAGTGAGGAACTCGGAGATAGGATGGGAAGATAAGATCGGAGAGCGGTCTCCATCAGCGATGCGTTGAATCTCTGGCTGAAGATCTTCGTAGGTAATGACTGGAATCTTGGTTTTAAAGGTATCACGGTCAGTGGCGCCGCCGAGGTTGAAGCGGCGGAGGTACTCGGTGTTGGCGTTGCGAGCCAGAATCTCCGCTAGAAGGTTTTCTTGAACGGTGTCTGCGTTTCGGGTCATTTCCTCAATGAAACGGAGGGCTTTTGCATCCTTTTCACACGCCGGAGGTCCCAAGGGCGAAGAGAGGTTGGAGTCTACCGCCATTTTTTTAGTGTATTTGTTTCTCTTTTGTTGTCTCTGTTTTCCTTTGGAGGGAAAAAAACCAAATCAGGAGAGAGGAGAAGGGAGTTTGTGTTTTGTACTTTGGTAATGGAATGGATGTGTTTTGTGATTAAAGAGCTTGTTGGGGTATTTATATAGAGGAAGGTGAATAAGCTTTTAATGCTTCTTAAGTGCCACGTCACACGGCCAAACAAACATTAGCTTCTTGAGTTGTTTTGTTCCAATCTTCTATGTGACTATTAAATTCTTAAATGATACAAAATTTACATTACATAGAAGCTTGGAACAAAACAATAATAGTCACAAATAAGTTACAAGGAAAAAAACTTGACACGAAGAAAATTTGGCTGAAGTAAATGACTTGTATTGGAAAAAAAAGTTTAGCTTTGCTAGTGTCTTCACATTTAAATCGTGATTGTAATAATTTAAGCAAAAAGTTTGAAAATGTGGAACCTCCAAAAAAGGGACCTTAATAAATAAATTCACTTTTTTTTTTTGTTTTAAGGTTAAACCGTGGTAAAGAAATTGCAAAGAAGTTTATAATTATGAAAAGTTATCTTGGATATTGCGTAAGACATCGAACGTGAAACTCAAATATTACATGTTGAAACATAAATAAAAATATATAAATTACGAATTAAAGTCGGGTTTTTGACAGGAAGGAGACTGGAAAGACACTTGCTGGAGAATTTTGTTGTGGGGAAATACAAAACTAAACAAATAGTAATAAGAAAATGGAGAACACAAGAAATGAGGCAAGAAAGGAGGGGATGTTGAAAATGAAGGAGACAGGTAGGACCAAGAGAGAACGTCAACATGGCACGATAGGAGGAGGTCGCATGTGGGGTTAGGTCATAGCCATTCAAAGCTATACCATCTCACCATCTTTCGTCTACGCGTTTCCCATTTCTCCTACTTCTTATATATGTGTATAAAATTTAGTAGTGAATTAGTGCTTTTTTTTTTTTTTGTTAAATGGCTTAGTGAATTAGTGCTTTCAAATAATTATACTATGAAACGTAAAACTATTATTTATATATATTAACGTTAATTTTCAAAAACCTAATTTTTTATTTTTCTTTGCTATAAAAGATATATTTTAATTTATTTTTCCCCTAAACTAAAAAAACAAGATACAATTGTAAGTATTGTAATATTATTATCAATATCCAGAAAATATACGAATTATAACATATTTTTGGTAGTTTGTTATATTACTATGCACTTTTTGGTGATTAACCAAATGAATGAAGTAATAGGCATTTATCTATAAAATTTATTTGTTTTTGAATAAATATGTAGTACTTTATTTACGGTTTTTATCATTAGTTATATTTATATTTTTTTATATTTTATCATAATAATATAAATGTTTACTATTTTTATACTTGCTATAATTATAGATTATATTTATTTTAGTTATTTTTGATTTAACCGTTGTCGAACCCACCGGTAGTCATAAGAGTACTCCCGCAAACGCACCAAATTTTAATCGCTAAGCAGTCGTTCAAAATGTTTAATAACGCTTAAAACTGCAACCGTCCGCTTCCGCAAACTCCCGCTGTGTTTAAACCTGTCAGGCCTTACTGAAGGAAGGCTATATTGAGGGATATATGAAATTGTATCTTTCAAATGTGAATTACATTGGATTTAATATACATAAAATTAAAAAGTAGAATTTACTAGGTGTTAAAAAACTTTCCGATATTTTATAGATAAAAGTGTTTGAAACTGTCTAAGCACAATCCAAATGACGGATTCACCGGCTTGTGAGGGTGACCAGTTATCCAGAAAGACATGACTTTAAAGCTCATGAATGGGAGTATGCAAAAGATATATAGTCAATCTTTTTTGGTAGGTACCATATATTTTTGTATAAACCAATTATGAACTCTTATGGACCACGTACCCATTTTACTCTTTTGGAAGAAGAGCCTCAAAAGTTAGAGTTTATATAGAGAAGATTGAAAGCTTTCAAGATATAGAGCTTTCAAATTAAGTTGAAAACTGAAATCAAACGTTCTCAGGTAACATTTTATTAATGTTTTGAAAACTAGATCGGATACCGACTCGGCATTGCTATTGGATAACAGGTCGGACCGGTCTAACCGGTTGGATCAGGTTTTGAAATTCTTGTTATTTTCATTGTGCTTAGACGGTTTACCGATCGGACCGGTTTAACTTGTTGGACAGGGTGGTTCATGAAAGCACAGAGAATTTATATTGCCGAATAAAGACTGCAGTTTAAACCATATTTGGGTAAAACTCCTTTCTTTTTTTTCTTTTTTTTGGTAAAAATCCCTTCTTTATTATCCTTTCTTTATTTAAAGATAAAAAAGGAAAGAAAGAGGATTTTAAATTAAATTAAGAGTTTGGAGAGGAACGAGAGAAACGCGGGGCCTGACAAAAGGGAAGTGTGTTGCCGTGTTGGTGGTCGAAAGCAATGGTCTAATGGGCACGTGAGACAAATGCCTAAATTCCATGCATGCATGCTTTCTTGCCTCGCCATTTCCACTATTCAAAATAGATTGATTCTCTATCGTTACTACGAATGCGTCTCGCTTTAAATGGTTAGGTTTGTACTGTTTAACGAAGGTGAGGCTTCCAGCTGCCAAGAAGTTCTTCACAATACTACCAGCTGAGAGAGAAAAAAAACAACAACACTAGCTACCAGCTTATTTTGCGTTTTAAAATTATATAAATTTGGCTTCTTTCTTTTATACACTTTGGTGGCTTGTGATATTTAACAAGTTTGTAGTTTGTAAATCCATACCACAAAATTCTGAGAGCTTAGACCCAAGGTAAAGGCCTTACTTGATACTTTAATTATTCTATTTTTTCTTACATCTCTAGATCGACAAGGCTCGATCCGTAGTCAATCCCTACTACGCGGGGTAACGCGACTTAGTGGAATCGAACTTCGGTAAAGAAAGTGGAAATGAACTTAACCGCTTGACTAAAGACACATCCATAATTATAATTTATTTATTGTTATTGGAATGAAACAATTTATTTTAAGAATATAAATCTTTCTATTTTACAAAGTGAAAAAAAAAAACAAATTTCGGGGAGCATTATAATCTTACCGTGTTCTTGACCTTGTTTCTGGATTTCACCTATATTTGGTTTTATGTCGTTTTGTAACACCACAAGTCTATTTTGGGTGGACATCACATACACTTTATCGTTACCTATCACTTCTGATAATGAATAGGCCGCTAAATTTGCGATCATTACACTAAACTAGTCAGACAAATTGGTCAGCTCGACCTGTACTCTTATAAAAGTCCACCCAATTATATTAATTCTACGGTTACTCGCATAACCAGTTGGTTTAGACAGTGATGTATCCCATTCCCATGGGAGGACTATCAGTCAACTAGCCATCCTCGAGAGGGACTGTCCCTAGAGCCTAATTCATATGAGAATTTTCTGAAGAAAAAAGAGAGGTGGCCGGGCAGCTCCTTCTTCTATGCCAGTTCCAAAAAACTCGCTCGAGAAGACATATGAGAGCCTCTTGATAGCACGTAGATATTTCTTGTCACAACTCAAACGGGCTAGAGAAGGAGTTTCCAACATCAGTGGTAAATGATGGATTGATGGTTTGTCGCATTAGTCAATTGGGAGAAACACGAAACCAAACAAGCATATACGAATTGAGGCATCTGACGGGTAGACAACTCGTGACAAGAATATTTCTTAGTTTTACATTTTCAAATATAATACAAATCTACTTTTTGAAACAAGCGGACTAAATACATGCCGGAAATACATGCAACATATGAATGGAAATGCATTAAATTTTGCATCTAGATGCATCATTTGGATGCGAACCTAGTTACGTAAAAAAATCTAGGTATTTTGGATTCAAATTTGTATCCAAAGATGAGAAAAATACTGAGAGACTATTCAAAAATTAATTAAAATAAATAAATTTACGCCAAAAATCACACATCATAATTTTCATAAATTTACAAAATAAAATTTTTATGTCCAATAAAAAAACATCATGAGTTTATACCAGAATTATTAAATCCCGTTTTAACGAAAAAGTACAAAAAAAAATTGTTAAATCATATGATGGGGATAAAATTTCAAAATTTGATATTGATGTTAAAATCTAAGACATTCATTTTGGGGCAAAATTAAATTTAAAACCGACTATGAAGAATCGTGTTTTGGAGCAATTAGAGCCCCATCAAATCTCATTTTGCCCAAAAATTTCGGACTCACAGTTTTGTACCAAAACCGTGAAACAATATTTTACCATTAAAACCATAAGATGCAGTTTTGATGCCAAAACTGCAAAACTCTTTTTTGACGCCAGAACCATAAACTAATTTTTGGCACCAAACTCGTGGAGCCCATGTTTTAGCGCCACAACCATTGTTATGAGTTTTGTTGTCCAAACCATGGAATCATGTTTTGTCACCAAAACTATGAAATTAAATTGTGTTTTGTCTCCAACATCGCTAAATCCTCCCACCAAAAACCGCATACTCACATTTTGACTCCAAAACTAACGAAATCGCATTACGGTTTTGGCGTAAAAGAATTGTGGATTCCCATTCCAGTTCTAAGTTCGAAATCAAGTTTTGATAGTAACAAAACAAAACTTCAAAATCGCGGTTTCATGTCATAACGATATAATTGGATATATGGTGCCTACAAAGTGTTTGATACGATCATAATTTTAATATTATCAGACTCTATATCAGTCTATATATTTCAGATGAGGTCAACGTTTATTTGGAGAACCGGAGGTTTCCTGTTGCATTACAAGCATGTTGCCGTTATAAAAAACAACAATACGTTAACACATAAATAATCTTGTAGATGGAAACATTAACAACACAATAATGATATATGCAATTAAAAAGTTATTGACGCAGACAGAGAAAATAAAGAAAGGAACCGTCACACCGGCCATAAGATCTTCCGAAGATTTGATGAAGTTCGTGGACTTCGGTGACTCCTTCACGTGCGCTTGCCTTTCCTCTCTCTTTCCTCATATATCATTTCTTCACTCTAATGTTTATTTCCTTGAATACTACTCCATCTGTTTTAAATTACTTGTCGTTTAAGGTTTTTGCACAGGAATTAAGAAAACAATTAAATTTTATACTTTACCCTTGTTCAATATATACTCTGAATTTTTTTATTGGTCAATACATTAAAACTATGAGGATAAAACTAGAATTTTTACAAAACATATGCATTGAAAATCTAAAACGATAACTATTATGAAAAAAAATTAAGTGGTAAAACGACAACTAAATTAAAACGAAGGGAGTAATATGAAATAAATATTTATCTTATTTCCATTTTTTAATTAATAAAAAGTTTGGTAGATCTTAATCATCATTAGGTACAACGAAAATGTATTAAACTCTAGTTTTCTGAAAGAGTTTGTCTTCGATAACTCTTATAGGCTAGATTAGGGTAATTACTTCTAATCTAGCATTAAATGCATCTAATATTTCTATAGAAGGAATCACAAATCTCTATGCAAAACATCATATTTCAATTATCAAACCATTCAAATAAATTACTATTATAATTACACAAGTATACTAATTTAAACTTGGATATTGATTAGCGTTTGTAGAGGTTCATCATTTAGGATTCATATATTGGCTTTTTTTTTTCTTAAACAAGTTCGAATATTAGTTATATATGCATTTGCCATAAAACAAAACAAAGAATATTTGTTATGCGTAAAATAATTCCTTTTGGACTCAAGTCTTGATATTCTGCTGCCTAATGATTTATGATTGATCAAAGAGTGAAATTGTACGAAACGGTTCACTTAGAATATGATATTTGAGAAATATTTTCATATTATGGTTTTTGTTAGAAAATAAAAACCCTACAACGACGAAAAAATAGCTGAGAATACAAGAACCATTGATAAGATGACGAGACCAAACTAAAAACTATAATCAAATAAAACTAAAATAAAGTAATGGAAAGGAATAAAACAATGTGGTAGAAGAGAATAGAGGTGGCTTGTTTCCAGTTAAAGTCGTTGCTGCTTGTTTCGTAGCAAGAGCTTCCCACAAATCCAATCCCTTCATATTAATTTTATATTATTCTATGATACACGACCATGTATAATGATGATCAATCTCCTTTTTCGTCACGTATGATCTATTATGTAACGATATAAATAATATGTTGAAAACTAAAACAAGCTTTATGCCCATAATCCTAGAAACCTAAACGGATTGTTCATGATTTTTTTTTTATGATTTATGTTTAACTAACTACAGTATATCTTTTGAAAAGAGTCTCAATATGAATTCCATTTACAATTCAACAATCATTTTTAATGTGTTGTGATCTCTTATTAAGTTATTATCTACCGCTATCTTTTACTTCTTGTAGTTGTTGTTCTTATTTAGATATCCAAGTGATTTTGTGTGAGACACGTAATCTCTTGGCCGGACACCAGAGCAGATTAATTAGTCTTTTCCGTCTCAATCATTAGCTAGATCCGGTGGTGAAAAAATATCCAACAATACGGTTCTGCATCATCGTTAATTCGTTACAAAGTCTATGTATTCAATCTTTCCATTTTAAAACAAGAAAAACAAAATGATCTTTGGTCTTATAGCATAAAATCTCAAAGCTAGATGATATGTATGCATACATGTATCTCCCTTTGTCTTATTAGTTCATATTTTATTAAATTAATTTGGGCGAAAAAAGGACAAAATTTTGAATTTTGGCTGCACATAGTTGCGAATGCACTTCTTGCACTGGGTCAACAATGTACCTGCTCCTAAAACTGTATCGCTTGAACATAGAACCTTAGTCTTTTTCTATACTAACATCACACTTTTCGAAAATTTAAAAACGTAAAAGCTCGATGAATAATTTGAATGGTAAAATATAATGCAATCATGTTTTTAAACGTGAATAAATGATATATACTTCCTCTGTTTCAAAATATAGGATGTTTAAGGTAAAAGCACACACTTTAAGAAATATATTTTTGTTTTTAAAAACTATCATTTATTTTTAATTTAAGAAAATTCAATCAATGATATAAAATACTGCAGAATATAAATGGTCATAACATATTAAATGTATTTAAAGTTGCATAGAGAATCGTAAAACATCCTATATTTTGAAACAAAAAAAATCTCTAAACCATCCTAAATTTTGAAATAGAGGGAGTATATCATTCATTCCATATTAAAAAATTAAAATGAATATGGATTTACAAATTGCGATGCCTCGTTAACAAATAATCAATTATTCGATATTTTATCTTTAGTTGACCATGCAACAAACTGAAAGAAACACTAAAAACGAATCTGAGGGAAGTTTCTGTTATATTTCGTTTGCATGTGCAATATATAAAAAACAATTGAATGTTTTTAGTGTAACGTAAAAGATAATTGAATGTTCAGAAAATATGAACAGTCACACGTAAAGAATTTTGTACGAAGGAGTTTCCGTACTCTTATAAGTCTACGTACAACCAGGCATCGTAATATTTAAGAAAATGAATACTATGTGCTTCACTTGGATTATTAAAATTAATGATTCAATTTAATATTTGTACGAAATTATTGGGTTGATTAATTATTACACCTAGCTCCCCTAATCATTCAAAGCTGTTTTATGTTCTTTGACCGATTGTAGCTAATTTGGAGAACATATACATTTTTTTTTGTTACAACCATAATATATATTATTCCCTCTATTTCAAATTAAAATATGTTAAACAAAAGAAAAAAAAAATCATTTAAGCAATGTATTAAAATTTGTATGCAAAATATATTAGTTTTTTTTTTAAATATAATATAACAGACTAATGATATATGTATTTTGTAACATTTCTTGATTTCTGTGTAGTATGTTTAGACATTATTTAAAATGAAAGAGATGAAGCATGATTTTTGATTACCTTAGCATATGTGAAGAAAATTGACAAAAAAAAAAAAGCATATGTGAAGAAAATATTATTCTCTTTTTCTAAATATATGGTAGGAAAAAAAACTGATATAATAAACCATATAACATTATCCTATGTTATGAAGTATGAACCATATAACTTTGAGGATTATAGTAGTACGAGCCACGGCCATGCTTGGAGTTTAAATGATGAGGAATAAGAGAAGAATCTAGAAAGACAAAACAATATTTCTTGAGTTTAAGAGACTCATTTAATCGTGCAAAGAAGACTAGTTAATCAAAAGAAAATGATTGTTCATATCTAAAGTTTCATTCTCTAAATGAAGAGGAGAAAGACTCTTGTGGAGACTTGTAATACCCATTAGGGATGTCATTTCATTATTCTATAACAAATTCAACCGAAGCTAGTTAATTTATAATTTTCTTTCTACGAATCATCAAAATTGACATTTTGTGTATATGATGGTTCATTGGTTCCAACGGATGATCTAGCTCTATTTTGGCACTCTATTTCTTGAGCTTTTAATGATCAGAATCTTTCAAAATAGACTCTAAATATGCACAACATTATCCTATTTTATGATTATTGTTAGAAAGATTGATAACTCTGATGAATTTGCAGCAAGATTATGGTAAGAGAAGAAAAAAGACAAGAATCAGGAACACCATTGTTTTAATACTGATCTACACTTATTAATGCTGTTATGCATTTTTCCGAAACAAAAAAAACTGTTCTCTGAGAAGAAACATTGTGCCAAGCAAACAAAAAGAACTATAACTAATAATCCACACATTGTGGAACTAAAACTTCAAAAAAGCAACACAACAAACAAGTTTTTGCTGAGGTAACCTCACAATTTCGATCTCACATCCTTCAAAGTACTGATTCACGCATGCGCAGTGAAATTACACTCTTTTGCCTCTTCAAGTACCTGTCTCAAGTTGCAACCAACATTACAAATCCGAATAAGACCCTGAGAGAAAATTCATCGAGCTTGGTGGCAAACATTCCTAACTATCAATTCTTCTTTGCCGTCATTGCGTATTATATATGACTTATTCTCGTTATCGATTTCATGAAATCTACCACTCTTTCAATGATAACCAAGAGAACTCAAATGGAGCACAATGAAACAAAACCCAAGAGGTTGTATAAACAAAACCCAAGTGTGCAACTTTATTATGACAAGCCATAGACAGTCTCTGCACAATGCAGTCTACTTGATGTTGCAACCCTTATATTTAGCTTCATGAATATGCAAAAAGCTTTAAATGGGAAGAATCAAACTAACTGTTTAAATGAACAAGATGTTTGTTATTCAGTGCTAAGAAAAGCTCCGTTCTGTCTAATCCGCCAACACAATGCAAAAGGAAACAGAGTCTAATCTTCAAATATTGATAAGAAACCTACAATGCAGCAACACTCTCTTGCCAGCGACGTAAAATCCATGTGCATCACCCATCTTTTCCAATTCCTATCAATCCCAAACCCAAATAGTTCTTTTAACAAAAACAGGAACAACCAAAATATCACGTAATCCTACTCAAACAAAGAATGGCAACGACATCAATGCGCAAGAATCTCCATAGTGTTAAACAAGAAACATATTCAGAGTTATCTACCAAATTTCCCTATAAAATCCTAAGTAAAGTAAACACTCACAAAGAAGACTACTAGCGATCCGGACAAGTGCGTTGGAAGGTACCGTTAGACAACTCGCAGAAAGCCCGCAAATTAACGTTAAGGTGAGATGTGAGTTGAGAAGCAGCCACAACACTGTACAGAGGCAAGAACGACTGTGTGCAACCAAGTGCTCCTAGATTCCTGAAGAATTCAATTCACAAAAACAACATCAGATTCTTCCAAATTCCAAATTCCAAATTCCAAATGCAAAATCAGAGACCAAGCAAAGATTTTCAAATGTTGATTAAACATTTCAAAATTGAAATTCTAAAATCTTCAATTTCACAAAATTTTCTATGGATTTGACGGAATTGATTGATTAGATTCTACTGAAATTGATTAAGAGACTACGTAGGAGCTAGGTTACGAACCTGGAAGGTGATGAGAAGGTGAAGCGACGGCCAGGTAAGGAGGATTGGGGAGGACGGAGGCGAGGAAGGGCCGTTGTAGGAGAACGGAGAGACGGTGATCTTGCGGTGGCGGAGACGAAAGAACGAGCAGCAGATCCTGCGTTGCGCCAAGCCATTGTTCTACTTGAAGGAGAAGTGAACTGAGAGAGAGAGAGAGAGAGAGAGAGAGAGAGAGAGAGAGAGAGAGCAAGTTTTTGCTAGGGTTTTAGGGAAATGAATTAGAGAAAAAAAACTCTCGATGTGTTTGGTTGTACGGAAGTTCAGTGTGGTGCATCGTAGCGGATTATTACACATGTTGGGCTATAGCCTATATTTTTAATCGCTATGGTTGGGCCAATGTATAATAGACACAGCCCAAGATCGTTGTAAGTAAAACCTCGATAAGTTAACTACTCCCTCCGTTTCACATATAGTGTCGTTTTAAAGTTTTAGTTTTGTTTCACAAAGAGTGTCATTTTATGTTTTCAATACAGTTTTTAAGACTGATTCTCTTTTTTATCCCTACTATTTCAGTTTATTAATTATAGAAAGGATATTATCTAGTGTATTAATAAGGGGTAGAAATGACATTTGTTTAGTTTTCTTAATTTGTGTGAAAAATGGTAGAATGACACTCTTTGTGAAACAGAGGGAGTATTATTTTATAACAGAAAAACTAGGTGATTGTCAGCGCACATGCGCGGAAATTATTGTGTATAAAAGGTAAAATCATGAGAGATAAGAGAATGTTATAAATGGTAAGAAAATAAGATGCTAATCATTAAAAAAAAAAAAATTCCAAGACAATAAGAAAACAACGAACGCCATCACTCCATGACATTCTCTTTGCGTGTGACGATAGGTACTTCATCGTTTTCAGGATTCCTGACATCCGGTTTATAACATCAGAATCAATTAACGTTCCGTCGAAAATTTTAGAGTTTTGATTGTGGACGACAAAAAAAAAAAAGTAATTACCAACAAAGCATTTAGTCGGTAATACTGAGATCCGGATTCAACAAAATTATCAAAAGCTCATCAATCATCAAATTATTTATACATTTGTCAAAAGCTCTTTCATTAGGTTGCAGAAAATCGCTATTTTACTCATGATTTTTGTTATCTTTGTTATAGCCTAACTCATCTTCAGTAAATGATTTATACGCTTATCAAGAACTCTTTCATCAGACTTCAGAAAACCATCAACTTTGCTCCTCTTGTTTTTTTTTCTAATTATGGTTATAGCCAAAATCATAAATAAGAAAGTAATTATTACGTTAATTAAAAATTCTTTCATGAGACTACAAAAAACAGTCAATTTTGCTCATTTTTTTGTTATCATGGTTATAGCCAAACTCATAAATCAGCAAATGATTTCTACATTTACCAAGAGCTCTTTCATTAGGTAATAGAAAACTGTCTATTTTGCTCTCTTTTATTGTTATCATTGTTATAGCCAAACTCATCAATCAGAAAAAGATTTCTACTTTTATCAAGAGCTCTTTCATTAGACAGCAGAAGAAAACTGTCAATTTTTTTTTATTATCATGGCTATTGCCAAATTCATCAATTAGCAAATGATTTCTCTGTGAATCAAGAGCTCTTTCATCAGGCTGCAAAAAATCTTCAATTTTGCTCCCTTTTCGTTATAAAAGTCATACTAAAACTTTTCAATCAGCAAATTATTTTTACGTTTATCAAGAGCTCTTTCATTAGACTGCAGAAAACTGCCAATTTTTTTTTTTTTTTTTTGTTATCATGGTAATAGCCAAACTCATCATCTGCAAAAGATTTATACGTTTATCAAAAGCTTTTTCATGAACCTGCAGAAAACTGTCACTTTTGTTCATTTTTTTCTTTATCATTGTTGTAGCCAAACTCATCAATCAACAAATGATATCTACGTTTATCAAGATCTCTTTCATCGGACTACAGAAAGTCGTCAATTTTGTCTCTCTTGTTTTTTTTTATTATGGTTATAGCCAAACTCATCAATGAACAAATCATTTTTACGTTTACCAAGAGCTCTTTCATTACGTTGCAAAAAACGTCAATTTCGCTCCTTTTTTTGTTATCATGGTTATAGCCAAACTCATCAATCAGCAAATTATTTATACATTGATCCATGATCTCCAAATTGGTCCCGAACATGTAAAGACCTGAAAAAGACTAGAAAAGACTCTAGAAATAACAAAAAGACTCTAAAAACAATATATATATCATGGCTAAAAACGGTAAAATCCATGATATATCACCTATGTCACTTGGTATTAAGAATTATGTCAGAAGTTTAATATCGGGGGACATGTTAACTGGATTCAAAGACAATCTAAGCCACCATGAAAACTGCCAAGCTATTTCAACGACAAAATATGAACCTTCATAAGTCCATAAAAGCGATTTCTAAAGATTTACCGTTGTTTACTCTCTTCCTCAACCTTTCGTCAAATCTCTATCTCTCTCCTTCTCCTTGCTTAAACCCAAAAACCGATCCTCACGACATTGTTTTTATGAGATTGAAATTGCGGACGCCACATATGAGGTAAATGATCAAGGGGAGAAGCTTAAATGTCGGCTTGCGGATGTGGCTGTTTTGAAACCAGTCTAGTGATGCTGACATGGCAACTTGAGAGGAAATATTGAGAAGCTGATGTGGACATCTTGAGAGGCCTCAATGAGCTTCTTTTATTAGTGAGAGATGAGAACACCCCTACTTTTTTTATACAGATGAAGTTTCTCTAAAGGATCATGTTATTTTTTGAGTCGCTAATTCAGAGAGAGTGATAGGAAAATAAACACGGACGGAGTCGTAACTGTAGAAAAGAGCCACTAATACTATATAAAATTTGTCGACTTTCATGTTAAAATGAGTTGACGCACCTGTCGCTCGAAATTCCAGTGACTTCTCTCTCTCTAGCAAAACCTCGATCCGTCATCATCATCTTCTCTCTTCTGTCTTTGTTTTTCTTTGTTGACCGCTGCCATTACCGTCGTTTTATCTGTCGCAGAGAGCCAGGAACAGGCGAATGGTCAATGACAACTCTTCTCTAACAGGGCCTAAATAGTTTTTAGCTAGATGTAAAATATAACCTTCATTACTAAATAAAAATCGTATCTGCAATTATGATAAAAATACATAAAAAAAAGTATATGGAATTGGATGTCAATCTTTTTGTATCTATATAAAATATCCATTTCTCAACACTGTGAAATCTTTTTGTGGAACTTAAAAATATTATGCAAGAGATTTTACTTTTTCAAATTTAGTTTGATATTCAGAAAATTAAATCAAGTTTTGTAAAGAAGATTTGGTCCTTGCAAAACGAAGTGATCGTTACACCCTCCAGTCTTTTGCGAGAATCACCTAAAAGCATCTCCATCGGTACAATTTTTGGGAGTTTCTTAAGATTAAAATAATAGAAAAAATTCAAAAAGGAGGAAAGAGGACGAGGAGAATGAAAGAACGTATCTAGTTTGAGAACTTTTGAGAAACCATTGAGAAACACATGTGCTTATGTGTCTGTTTCTAATTAGTATAATCTAAAAAAAAATTAATTACAATTAAAACATTAATATATTTCCTTTTTTTGGGATAAGAATGATGGAGCTCTAAGGTTTAATATTACAAACAACAATATGTTTTTGACGAACACATACAAAAAAATAACTATTTCTAATTAACTAATGTTTCTGATTGGAACACTACTTAATTGTAGATGTTGGATTCACACACTCAAGTATTTATTTATTCATGGGCAGAAATTCTCAAGATCAAAAGACAAGTTACAAAATGCAAAGTAAATAGTATAAAAATGCAAGTATAAATATTGAGAGAAAAGTGTATAGTATTAGCTTTGTAGCAAGAATTCGATGTACCAAAAAATAGCATAATTTCTACAAATAGTTGGACTCGAGAAACGAGTTGCCTACGTATCCAAATTGGGATCAAGCCTAAACGTAGTTTGAATACAAAAAAGATAAAGTATTTTGTATAATATTAAGGGTGTAAAATATAGAAGATGAGAGGTCCTTTTCTTGGAGTCTTCACCTCTCTTTTATAGCCTAATTCTTCATCCCAAGGTGTCATTACTTGATATTAATTCTAGAATTAACTCACAAAATAACTCTCACAATCAATTCATAAAATTGAATGACAAGTTTACTCCTTTTACCATGGCCATTAATTCATGAATTAAACTACAAATTAATGTCAAGATTTGACCACCTCTTTTGTGCAAAATGGGCCTTCTTAGGCTTCGTAAGTAGATGGGCCTCCGATGTACTAAAATAATCCGGAGTGCGGGATCCGGTACCAACATAAGGCCCCCAGTTCTTCGAGTAAGTTGACTTGCTTGGAGAACTAATATTCCTGTCATGGTGTCGGAAACAAATTCAGACTAAGTAGCTACGGATGAACCTGGTGAACAAGTCGTGAGAAGATCTTGGGTCTACTGATTGCGAAGTGAACTTGGCTTACGCATGGGAGCTGAGCTCGAGTTAAGTGGTTGCGATGTGAACTCGGCTTACGCATGGGAGCTGAGCTCGAGTGAAGTTGTTGTGAAGTGTATTCTGCAAATGTGTTGTGAGCTGAGCTCGGACTGAGGAATTGCGAGGTGTACTCGGCGGAGTTCGAATCAAGTGATCGCGAACGTCGATTTTTTTGTAAAAATTCTGAGCAAGTTGAAGGGATCCAAGAGGATAATCTTGTAGAAAACAATCACAAGGTTGTTGAGCCGCAATCTAGAGAGAACACCGAAGATGCTTCTTTCGAGCTTGAGCACGAGGAATTGTCGTGAATGTTTGTTATTGTGAGGTAGAATCTAATTTTGCGAAGAGCGAACTCAACAGTTGGATTCCACCAAAGTGAACTCATTTTTTCCGAGAGTTCGAACTCAGAAAAATCTCTGCGGAGTGGAATCTGCTTTGGTTTGTTCTTTCTCCATGAACATGAAGTATTGCTTCAGAAACACCACCGAAAGCTCGTTAAAGCTGTTGATAGATCCTGGTTTGAGCTGAGTAAACCACAAGAGAGCCGGTCCAGAAAGGTTCTCAGAGAAGAGTTTGCAATAACCCGCATCCTCTTCGTGTTCTTCTAGGTTGATCCGGCATGCTGCTATCTGGAAAGCTCCCAAATGACTCTTCGGATCGCCTTTTCCTTCGTAGATTGGCAGGTTGACTTTGCGAAAATCCCTAATTCAGAGGTTCGCAATTTCCGCCTCGTTTCTTGAATCACCATGTCGATGTCAGGACCCGAACTGATGGCTTGATAGAATTTTAACTTTATTTTCTTTAGCTCGCGGTGGACTTTTTCGTAGTTCGCAGTAGGTGCCAAAGAGAAATGATTGCCTCCACCTTGTCCGAGCTCGTCCTCATCTCGGACAACTCCATCGCCGATCCTATCGAGGTTCTTCTGCTAGCGATGAGCTCCGGTTTCTCCTTGGTCTCCAATAGTCGGTGTCTCATTGGCTTCGGGAGTTATGCGAGCACACGAACTAGGAGAACTGAGTAGTCCTCGCCGAACTCTCTTACTTGTTCCTGCACTCAAACATTCCACACGAGCAAAAACAAGATTTTTATTTTTGGTAAGTGTTACCTGGGCTGCTTGTAGATCAGTTACTGACTTCTCCAAGTTATCGAACTTCCCAGACATGCCAGTTACGGAGTCAGCTAGCGTCTTAAGGGCGTCGGTAATGGTTTGATCGGCCATGATGACTTGTTTGCGTCTTGAAACTTCTGAAGGGTTGAGAACTTTGGGTCCCCACAGACGGCGCCAAAATGTGGATGTCGGATTCACACAGTCAAGTATTTATTTATTCGTGGACAGAAATTCTCAAGATCAAAAGACAAGTTACAAAATGTAAAGTAAATAGTACGAAAATGCAAGTATAAATATTGAGAGAATAGTGTATAGTATTAGTTTTGTAGCAAGAATTAGATGTATCAAAATTATCCGGAGTGCGGGATCCGGTACCAACATTAATCGCATAATACAATAATAAAAACTTGTAGAATGATAAATTACAAATGGAAATTACTTTATAAATTGTGGAATTGGATATATATTTTGGAATGACAAAATGCAATATTACATTAATAATATATTTTTATATTTAATAAGACAATAATATATTTAATGAATTTTAATTTTTCTTAAGTAATATTTGATTAAAAAAAGTATATAGGAATGTTAAAAGTATACTAAAAATTGTAAAAAATTTGTGAAAGATTTAGATATTATTGAAAAGTGGTATATTTTTTTATTGTAAATAATTTTATTACTTTTATAATAGTTAATTTTTTGCATAGCTAAAAAAAACAAAATTAACCACTTATCATGAAAAAGCAACTATATACCACTTATTTGTATAATGTGTTTTTATTTGTGATTTAAAAAAACAAAGAATTTTCTTTTTTTGGTGTTTTGGCAAACAATATGCATGTTTTAACGATTGATAAATCAATTTTTTTCTATATTGATTTATATATAAATTACTTGCAGAAAACGTTATTTGGCTATTTTGTGTTGTTAATTGGAGCCATATTTATAAAATCCGTTTTATGACCGAGTTTAACTACTAGGCTGTTCGTTTGGCCGCCGCAGCTACTTGCGGCAGCGGCAGCCGCAGAGATGAATGTTCTTTTAAAGTTTGCAGCAGATACACTAAAACCAGAAGAATGTGAGTTTACAAGAGTAAACCCTGTTTTGAAGAATGATGATCGATATTGGCCTTTTTTTAAAGATTGTGTTGGAGCACTTGATGGAACTCATGTCCCGGTTCGCCCTCCAAGTCAATCTGCAGAAAAATATAAAGGTAGAAACAGTGCCGGTCCGAGCATTTGTGAGGCCCTACACGAAAAATAAAATGAGGCCCAATATATTTATAAGTTTTAGGACTAAAAATTTTTTTTTGACCTATTTTTAGTAATTATACAAAAATAATGATATTTTGAATATTATTACATTCAAATTTAATTGTTTGGGCCCTATTTTATTTATTTTTTTCCGAAAAGGCTTTAGTTTCTACCAAATATTTTCATTTTATGGGCTTAATTCTTTTTTTTTTTCTAAAATTGGGCCCTTTTTCCAAAAAAAAAAAAATGTGGTGCCCCAAGCGGTGGCTTGGTTGGCCTGTCCTCCGGGCCGGCCCTGGGTAGAAAGCTAGAACCTACAATGAATGTTCTTGCTATATGTAACTTCGATATGAAGTTCATATACGCATATGTCGGTGTACCTGGTAGAGCACATGATACAAAGGTTTTGAATCATTGTGCGAGGAATGAACCTTCTTTCCCACATCTGCCTAATGGGAAGTACTATCTTGTTGACTCCGGATATCCCACCAGGACTGGGTATCTTGGTCCACATCGTAGGATGCGATATCATCTTGGTCAATTTGGTAGAGGAGGACCACAAGTAACTGCACGAGAGTTGTTCAACCGAAAGCATTGGGGTTTATGATCTGTGATTGAGAGAACATTTGGAGTATGCAAAGCAAAATGAAGGATTTTGGATCGTAAGCATCCAAAATATGGTCTGACTAAGTGGATTAAGCTTGTAACAGCGACGATGACACTACACAACTTCATAAGGGATTCACATCGGGAAGATCATGATTTTTTACAGTGGCAAAACACAGAAGAATATCATGTTGATGAAGAAGACGAAGAAGAAGCAGAAGAAGGACAAGAAGGAGAAGAAGGACAACATATTGCATATGAGCCGACCGGTGATAGAGCAATGGAAGCTTTGCGTGACAACATCACGAATGAATGTAAGAAAGGTCGTTTACCTTATTAGATATTTTTAGTTTTTTGTTTATGATTTGGTTTATTATTTTAGTTAATAACTTTGTCTATCTTTTTTGTTTATGACTTGGTGTATTACGTTTAGTTAAATGTTTTGGTTTACTATTTTTGTTTTAATTTAGCTCATTATTTATCACAAAAAATCATATTGATATATTTATATATTTTACTAAAAATTAATTCATTACCCAAAAAAAAAACTAAAAATTACTACTAGCTAAACAAATATTTCTTATGGATGTAAATATATTTAAATTATATTTTTCTTGATTCAAAATATAATTATACAAATTTATAAAAATAAACAAAAAATTAAGTAAAAGTTGTCTGCAGCAGCGGCATCGAAACGAACACAAAACCTGCGGCAGCGGCAGCGGTTGCCGTAGCGTCGGCGGCGACGAAACGAACAACAACCTGCGGTAGTGTTTGCCGCCGCCGCCGCTGCCGCCTGCGGCGACGAAACGAACAGCCTATACTTATTTCTTAAGCTATAGGCGTATATGCGTATGCAAATGCACACAATTATACGAATACAAATATTTGCGATATACTACAACAACTACCTTAAGAAGTAACTAGATCCGGACCCGCACGTACGTGCGGGTTGTTATTTTGAATCGATAGGATTTACATAAAGTTGTAATTTAAATGTATTGTTTTGTTTTATGTAATTAATAGTGAAAATATCAATCTTTAGAATAAACAATATTACACACATTTATTTTCAGTTTGATTAATTATACATTTTTCAGAAAAGTGTATTTACTAAAAGATGCAACATTTGTCATAATAAAAATGTGTTATATAATAAAATAAATAGTAGCATGTATCAAAGTACCATATATAGAAGATAACAACATAGTTATTATTATTGTAATTAGTAAAGAATCTTAAGATATAATGAAGCACATAATATATACTTACAACCTGATCTGGAAGGATCATTTCTGTTGTTTCACCAGTGAATTGCATGTATTGTGTCCAGGAATGGACAATTTTCACTTGGATCTTCCAATTCGTCTTGAAAGGTCTCACATCAGCAAGGGTGGTGATACCGTGATTTTGAGCCATGGTTACGAAATAGTAAAAAGTGAAGAATGCTTTTATGAAAGGTTAGTGTGTTTCTGAACTTTCACATTAGGCGTCTATTTATATGAGTTGAGGGAGGTAAGCAGATTTTAGGGTTTAGAGAATTAAATCAACAACCGTATAAGGTAGATGCTCGAATTTTACGGTATATTCTCGATTTAAACATATCTCAATATCTAGTTTTTGATAGAGTTTGGTAATTGAATTTGTTTGTTAAGATAAATAATTTGTTTAGATATAAATTGGGAAATCGTGATTATGATAAATTGGGCTAAAAAGATTGTCGAGGATTTGTTTGTTATGGAAATCTGTTGAAATTTATGTAGTTATGGATATTGAATGATTTTGTTTGTTATGGAAATCTTTTTGAATGATAACTAACCATTTTGTTTATGTGTCATTAATATCCAGAGTATCTCAAACAATATTGGGATTAATTGTGAGGTTGTGATTGTCGGCGAAGCCCATTTGTCAAATATGAAGCCCATCTAAAATGTCATCCAACCCATTAATATTGAGAGGGACTGTTATTCGGATCATCCAACTCAGCAAATATAGATCCGCGTGTTGTTTCGTTTTTAATATTAGAAGATCCGATTGAAGATCCAAGATCCGCGTGTTTCTTAAAATGGGAAAAAAAATTTTTACCCATCCACGTGAATTTTTTTGTTTCTTTATATTCAAATTTTCAATGGCATTTTTTGTAAATATTCTACCAAAATAGGGTTACTTATGTTTTAATGATTCCCAATTAATAGTATAGATATTTACAAACACATATACCAATCCGTTTTATGACCGAGTTTAACTACTTATTTCTAATTGTTTTATGTACCTATATTTTTCTTATTTAATTTGCGACTCTAACAAGTGGGAAGCAAAGGCAAATCAACCTCATCACACCACTCTACACATCTAGTCTCATAAAACAAAGTATTCAACTTGTTTGGCCAATAAGTTAGCCAAATTTTGCCACCCATTCTCCACTTCAACACACTTCCTTCCATCTCTCTCCCAACTCTCCACCCAACTTCATCTCCATACTCATCCCTTCCAAACACCATCCCTCCACTCTTCGTAAACACATTCTTTAAACCCTCTTGGGTTGGCTTCGGCATAACCGTTGTCACTTCTTGGCCGCTCTCTCTATCGTACAACACCGCATCGAAAACAGCAGCGTTTCCTTCACTCTCCTGCTCGATTCTCCAATCTTTAACCTTCCTCTTCGTTGACATTCTTGCTCTTGCCTTGACTCTTGGAGCCACTTTACCTTTTCCAAAATTTCCCTTTAGCACCCTAGTCACCTCGATATCTCTCTCTTCGTTCTTCGTTGACCTTCCTAGGCTTAGCCCCGATACGTGGCTCGACCCGAGTTCTGGCCCGAGCCAGACCCGTACCCGTGAAGGGAAGTACTTCTCTTCCGAGTAACAATCCGCTATCTGATTCTCCACGCCGACTCCGCCTTTGTGAAACCCTAACTTCGACACGTGGATGCGTATGTTATCTACACGTGCGTTCACTTTTATGTAGTTCTCGTAGAACCTAACGGAGTATTCAAACTGTACTAGTATTTCAGCTTGTTGGTGCGACAAAGCGTAACGTAAGACAGCCTCTTTAGGCTCCACGAATGGAAACTTGACGATCTTGTTGTGAACCTCGTTAGAGCTATTATTTGTGACGTTCATTGACAAGATTGGGAAATAGCCTTTCAAGATCCAAAGCCCATGAGCTTCTGTGGCATACGAAAATCCCAATGAATGACGAGGCATGAGGCTACTACTCAACTGTTTCAACCCGAGATTACCAAGTCCTATCTCTTTAGAGATCATCCATTTGGATAAGGCGTAAGAAGCGGCTCGTACGATACACAGCTCGGCGTCTACACCAAGTGAGACCAGAAACGTTCGTAACACAGGTGCGTGTTGACATGTTAGCGCGTTCACGTGTGGACCTAGTAGGTGTTGGAAGAAGAAAGAGCCTACTTCGCTAGGCGCGTCAAATACACACAGCCAGAAGAGGCGCGTGAGGAAGATTAGATTAAAGACTGATGAGAAGGATTCAGGTGAGTGAGAGTCCATGACCCAGCTAACCGGACCTGGTTTGATTTCAAGTAGTTCAAACTTTGTGCACGCGCCGTCGCGTGAGGTAGGGGAATGGGTGATTAGTTCTTGAAGAAGCTGGAGAACAAGAGGGAGGAACGGTTTCTCCGACGACAAGGGACATGTGTCGGAGACCCAAATGGTTGATGTTTTAAGGAGGTTAAAACCCTCTGCTACCACTTTGAAGGTGAAAGAGTGAGATTCTAGGTCAGAACCCGAAGCCCGTTCGGCTCTAAGTTTGATCGAACGTGTCAAATCGCCTGCGAGCTGAAACACTGTTTGTGAATCAGACTCGCTGAACTCGGGGGCTTCGGGAAGCTCGCATATCCATGACCAAGGGTCCATTTTCTTGCACTTAGTTTATTTTTCTAAGGAAAATGTGTGTGTTTAGTAGATTGGAAAAGAGGAAATAAAATTCTTTTTGCGAGGAATGGAGGTTAAGAATTTTATAGAGAGATCGTGTGGTGGAGGAGAAGCCATGAAGGAGATGAAACTAATCAAAGATCCTTGAACGAAGGGATCACGGATTCTATGAGGATCGCATCACATTAAAAAAAATATGTGGCTTGACAATATCGTCATTAATGATTCACTTTTGTTTTCTTTTTTGGATATTTGGTTTATAAAGAACCACGACCACTCTTTTTTGCATGGAGGAGGTCTCAAGGAAGGGACGTGGAGTTTTAACGTTTTCTTGTTTGTGGTATTAGGTACGTGTTGCATGGATTGGAACGCGAATACGTACATTCATTTTTCGATCACATAAAAGAGTGACTATAAATGAAGTATAGGTACAAATATTTATGGTTGAAAACGACATAGTTAGACATTTCCTTTGATAACATTAAAATTGCCGAGAATTTTCCATTTATATTTCTAACATTTACAGAGAATTTCGTTGGTTATTATTACCACGGAATAAAATGTGGGTAACATTTAAAATGACGGATGTACTAGATATCTATAAGAAAACATGTGATTACCGACTGGGTAATCACTAGGATTCCGTTAGTAATGCCAATTACCTAAGACTTAACAAAAACAGAAAACCCTTTTGGTATATTACGGTATATATAAGTATGAATAAGTGACATGGCTGTTACTTATTTCAAGAATCTTCTCGGTTGTGACCTTATTATACAACTATATAGTTTATATATATATATATATATATATATTTATATATATTGAGCATCAAAGGTAATTCAAACGACGTATAGCTGCGTTTTTGCCATGACGGTCTGTGTCTAAACTAAATCTAGTCACGAAATAGCCACTAAAAATAATTCAAAACAAACGTGGCTTCCGCGTGGATATTTTGTGGCTAAATAGCACATCCCTTTTCGACAAAAAAAAATAAAAAATAGCACATCCCTAATTTGGAAACAAACAATGCAACACTCAAGGAAGATATGTTCGTGTTGAAGGCTGGACATGGGCATAGTAATTGATAACATCGTATTTTTGCCCGTTTTAGCTATTGTTTTCTCATGATGTATGAAGAGTTTAGAATGATTTCAAATTTAAAAAGGTTATTTCCAAGTATTTTTAGTGTCAAAAAAGCTTTTACAGGTTTTAAGGCAAAAACGACTAAAAGAGGACAAAATTCGTTTCATGACAGATTCGAAGCACCAGAAGTTTGACATCCGTTGGAGACCCTCCCGAGAACCAAATTGAGAGCTATTGGACTATATGGAAAGCTAGAAGAGAGTCAATATTACAGTAGAGGAAGAATAAACTCAATATAATCTGCTAAACGGATTCTACACCAGATTGCACTCAACCAGTCTGAGACCAATCACAAGGAGTGTGACCGGTGGGAAGCTACCTCTTGGGACCGGCCACAACCCATGTGGCCGGCGTGAAGCCTTCTCCAGAGACCGGCTAGAACCCCTTAACCTGTGCGGAGCTCCTCACCCCTGCAACTTATCAAAACGTCAAGTTTTGACCTTAAAAACCCTAAACCGACCTCTTGGACCCCTAGGCCTATAAATACTTATTCCTAAACCCTAAAAGAGGTTTGCCTTCAGAGTGTGGCGTTAGTGAAAACTCTCAGGAGACACTAGAGATGCAGCAGCCATCACTCTACCTCGATCTGAAGCTTTGAAGTCCACCAAACTTCTTCTTTTCTCTTATTTGTTACTTTGATCTATAAGGGAGAAGTCCTGACCTCTTGTATTCGACATTTAAGAAGTAATCTATGAACCCTATTCAGTTATATATTATTCATCTTATTCTTATGAACCTTGCTTTGATGATTCCTTTAACCATGCTAGAGTAGTTTCCTAGTTGGGGTTAAAGGGATAATCAAAGGGGGAACATGATCGATCGTTAGGTGGCAATATCTTTGGTTTTGTTTGATCGTTTACACTGTTATCTTTCGTTATAAAATATCTCTTAATGCATGTAGTTAGCCTCATGAACTAACTCTGATCACAAGTGTCTAAGTTTCGCTAATCGCTTACTTAAATACTCGAACCTAGTTTAGATGAGTATTATGTTATAACAAGCACATACCACTTAGTCATAGGGCTTTATGGACTATAATCGAGCCCGATCTTAATGCTTTGATCTATGCGCCGTTGCCTGCGTGAGTTGAGTAATAGAGTATAAGAATTTTAGATGGTTAATTCTATATGATAGGGTTAATTGAATATTCGTGTTTCGTGTATCCGAGTCTTGGAAGTAAACAAAAATTCTCTTAAAATTACCTAGATAAAAAGATCATTGAACCCCCTACGATCCCTTGAATGTCCAACGCTTGTCTTTTATTGATCACATTCGTTTATTTGCTTAGTAGTTTAGTCGTGGCACGAAAGCAAATACCTTTTTTATTGATTAGTCCTAGCCTTATCCTCTTATTACGGATTCGTAAAATAACGTCCTATGGGATTCGATCCTTAAATACTACAAACGATTAATTGTGAACTTGCAGTCATCGTGTGGTCTCTAAGGTAAAACCTTGAGGCGAAAAAAAATACGCATCAGTAATGAATGAGCTGTCTACAACCAGACTTGCGCTCACTGTGATTATGCAGTCGCTTGGAGTTTAAATCCCTCAAACTGCTGCTGCTCCTCCTAGTGTTGCTCTTGATAGTGTTGATAGTGTTGCGGCTGTTCGTGATGGTGCTGCGGCTCGAGTGTGTGCTAAGGCTCGTGATGGTGAAGCTGCTCTTTCTCCGACAACTTCCCCGGAGTCCCTCCCACAAAAACAAACCAACTTAGATGCTTGGTGTGCTTCACTAGGTATATAAGTATAAATATTTTCATGTTTTGGTTAGCTTTTGAATGACTTTTGCAACCCTTTTGGACCTGGTAATGTATGATATAAGACAAATTATAGTTATGTAATATATTGTTATTAGGATTTCATGTTTTTTTTGATATCTTGCTTTTGAATATGAACCTATAAATATTGTTTTCAGGTTTAGAATTATAATTATTTCTTTGGCCAAATACAACATGATTAGCCACAGATATTACAAGTAAAACATGACTTATATTCGTAGCAAGTAAGCCACTGATATAATCACGAAAGATTCAAAAAATCAGTGGCTACTTAGCAATGTTTATGCCACTTTCATAAAACATGGCTTAATCAAACTAGCCACGACTATGCCACTTGCTAAAACGTGGCTTACAAGGCTTTATTGGTTCTCCCGCTAGCATGCAGCTAGTGGTTGTTAGCGGTCGGTTGCGGTTGTTAGCGGTCGGTTGCGGTTGTTAACGGTTGGTATCAATTGTAGACCCCGTTTCATACCGCTTCGAACCGCTCAAAATCGTTGGATTTCAAAAGCTCCTTTCCGTAAGCGTTTGTTGTTGCGGGCGGTTGCGGTTGGTTTAAAAAAGGGTTGCGGGCGGTTGCGGTTGGTTTTAAAAAGGAAAGATACTAAAAACAAATGAACAAATTCAAATATATATCAAATCTTATATATATTCACGTTAATTCTAAAAAAAAAAATTATATAACTTTAATTTACCAATATTAATAATTATTTTTGTTTTCAATACAAAATTTATTTAAATAATTATTTAGTAATTATTTATGGTTTTTAATCATTAATCATGTTTAATTTTTTTATACTTTTTCATAATTATAGATTTTGGTGTTTTTATACTTTTTCATAATTATATATCTTATACTATTATTTGGGGAGTATATTTTGGAATTAACCTTGCTTTTTGTAAGTTATTACAATGGAATGCCATTAGAGATAAACATTTAAAGAATAAATTAATTCAGCTGATTAAAGATAAACAAGTCAAATACTAATTTATGCAATTTAATTAAATTAATTAAATTGTAAAATAATTTTAAAAAAAGAATGACCAATCAAAATGAACATATAAGATTTGATATCTAACTTATCATATTAATTTGTTATTAATCATTATAATTCACCTCTCATCTTTATATGCTTCTATTTTTATGAAACAAATAAATCATCATATCATCCATATAACAAAAAATGTAATTTTTTTTTCCGCATATGCCAAGATTTGAATTTTCAGAAACGAATATAAATTGTTCAATCTATGAAAGAAAACTTTAAAGGTCAAAAATTTAGATTTGAGTACTATATTTCTTTTATACAAAAATAAATTCAACAAAAATTTCAACTGAGTAAACGGGTCAACAAAAATTTCAAATTTAGATTTGAATAATATATTTGTTTTAAACAGGTCAGAATTTAAATATTTATATTAAATTTCATACATTTTGTTAAATGTATAATTTTATATACTAAAATAAACTTTTTCAATATTTTAAATTGCAACATTTAAAATTAGTTTTACTTGATATTTTTATAAAGAATATCATCAATATTTAATAGATCAAAAAGTTAAAAATTACAAATACTCTACTTTGAGTTTTTTTTTAAACGAATATTAAAAATAGGTGGCGGGTTAAATATAATGTATTATATGATAAAATGAGTTATGATCCATATAACTATTTGAATATTTATATTTAATTTCATATAATTTTTTTTTGAAATTCATAATTTTATATACTGCAATAAAAAATTTAAAGATTTAATTTAGAACATTTAAAAATAGTTTAATTTAATATTTAAAAGAATATCATAAATATTTAATAGAATAAAAAGATAAAAATTTATCAATACTTTAATTTGGTTTTCTATAAAGATATATTTAAAATATTTATAGCAGCCGGTGGGTTATATGTAATGTATTGTATGATAGAAAATTATGATCCTTATAACAGACGACATGTTAAGATTATAAAATGAGATAAGTTATATTATGATATTTTGATTTTTGATATAACTGAATTATATGCAATCTATTTTGTGGTTGTTAACATAAATTAACTCATTGTTCAAATAATATTAAGTTTTAAAAATAATATTATTTTTCGTTTTCATATCTTAAAAAAATATATCCATAATT